TAATGATTCTATGATTCTATGATCTGTAAATGTTGAGGCTGGCAGGGACTCTGCTCAAGCTCCCCCAGACACTTGTTGGGAATTTTTGAGGAATGAGGGAAGAAATGGCAATAAGAATCATTCTTGTTTCTTGGGTGCCTCAGAGGGGAATCTGGCTTAGTTCAACATCATGGTTTTAAGATGGCTTCTGCCAACCCAAGGTATCAGGATGGAAGACTGATACAGATCCCAAATGTTTAAAGTTTACTGGACCCAAGGCAGAGCTGATGGATCTGTCTACCTGAAGGTTTCATTTAACAGTATTAACACGCCGACCTAATGAAAGAACACCTCCTTTTAAGGAAAGGACTACTCCAAAAGCCATTGTCTTTAGAAAAATGGTAATTGAAGGATTAAGAGAAAAGGAAATGAAACTCAACATCAAGAGAATGGAACATATCTGCATGGTTAGTTCTGAACTTGGCTTTTTAGGAAATGCTCTCAGAATCACTTGTATATGCAAAGATCTGAAAGAGGGAATCCATTAAGCAGCCTTGCAGGCTTTCATTTACCTGGCTTTTTCACTCTCTAAGATCTTCAATGAAGCCTGAAATTCTGTGTTGTGATGCTCGACTTCTTCCCATCGACTCCTTTCCCCCTCCAAGGACTGCAGACACACTTGCAGCTCCTTGTTCTGATGTTGCACCTCCTCCCATTGACTCCTCTTCTCCTCCAGGATCTTCTGGAGGTCCACAACCTCCAGCATCTTCTGCCTTGACAGTTCCTGTGCATCACTCAGATCTTGCTGAGCTTTGCGGACAATCATTTGCTGGGACTCTTCAGAGGCTGCTAGCTGAGATGTCAGCTCTTCCACCTCGAGTAAAACAGAACAGAGCAGTCAAAGACTACAGCTTGTCACTGTCAGCCATATCATATGCTGTGAGGAAAGGGAAAGAACAGCTTTACATTTCACACTATCATGAAAGTACCAGGTTCACAATGGATACAGCTGACTTGTTTAAAAATCTGGCCAGTAAGTCTCCTTCAGACCAGCTGAGATGGAGACGACACTGTGATGGCACTCAGAGGCATTACCCCACCAGCCTGCTCTGCAGTGGAAAGGCAAGAAGGGGAGAGAGACTGCCTGCTTGATGACTGGAGGAGCTATTGCTGTTGCAGTCACCTGTTTTTGGAGAGCATCCCTCTGCTGAAGAAGCACATTCATGTCCTCTTTGATGGTTTTGGTTTCTTCCTTGTGCCTCTTCTCCACTGCCTTCATCTTACTCTGAGTTTCCTGCAGCTCTGCTTGCAGCTTTTCTGTCATGTTCTGTAAGCGCAAATGGAGAGCAAGTTACTGGGACCTGCCATCAGGTTCAGCTTTTTCCTCCTTCTCTCTCAAAATCACATTCATTCAGCCACTTCCTTCTGCTTTTCTACCCAGTTCTGCTTCCATTGTGACCCTTCCTTCCTCTTGCTGATCTCTGGAGCTTACCAGGCTCTGTGCTTTCACCGGCTGCAGTAGTCCTTGCCTCCTCAGTCCCAGGGCTTATGTTTAATTTCCTTTTTACCGCCCTTCACTCTGTTCTCTGGTGCTCTCAGCCTCTCTCAGCTTACCTCCAGTTGCCAACTGCCTGTCCTTTCAACGTACCCTACTAGTCACACTTACCTGCCCATTCTCTTGCTGCTCTTTCACCTCCTGCCTGAGCTGCTCTAGCTGCTGGCAGGCTTCTCTTAGCTCTCCCTGAGTTTGCAGTAGCGTCTCAAATAAAGCATTCTTCTCACTCTCTTTTTCTAGCAGGACCTGCGCAGAAATAAAGAGCAGATGCATTTAAACTTCCCATACAAACTCTGCGTGGCAGGACTCAAAACCAGATGGGCTCAGACGTTCTCAAAGCACTATGCTGCTGGTGTCCTAGGTCATTATCTGTCCACTTGGAGACAGAGCTTCCAAAGTAAGATTGGCCGTATAAACATGGTCCATCCATGGTCCATCTGTGATTGAATCTCCAACAAACTCTTACTCATCCAACAGGAAAATGTGTGGCATTTCTCAAATGTCTCGCCTTGCTGGTGAGGGTAGCCCTCATCTTCTGCTGTGTCCTGTTTGTCTTTCAACAGCGACTTTTGCACCTGGTTCGCAGTACAGAAAATGCAAAGCTACCAGAGGGCTGAAGTTAGCAGCTCCTTCAGAAAACTCATGCATTCTGAGTGGCCTTTGGTGAAAATGACTTCAGTTGTAAGGGATTCAGTAGCCTTTGGTAAAGTACCGACACTGCAGGCACACACTGTCCTCTCTGAGTGCTGCCCTGTCATTTCAATCCCCGCAGGCACAGCTGGGGGTGCTGCTGTCCCTAGGCAGCCTGCAGAAAGAGGACTTTGGGGAGGACACCAGGAGGCCTCAGCGTATGACAGGTTTGCTTTGGCACAGGACATCTGGGCACAAAATAGCTTACCAGCAAGTGACTTCCAACACAGCCCAGAAGACGCCCCTGGTTTACTGCTCAGAAATATTTCAGAGCAGCCTTTAGAAAAAAAGTTTTTCAGGTAACAGTCCTGCCACGCCACCCTGTCCCCCCCAGACAATATCCCCATCCTCGTGGGGATTCGGTCCTACAAACTCACTTTGGTCTTAAATGTACTTAAGGCTGTAAGCACGTATCAGTAAATATCAAAAGAGGACCGTTAAGAGAACTGTGAAGATACTCTGAGGGAAGTCTTAAAGAACAAAACCAGAACACAATAGCAGCACAAAAATCTGAACTGAAAGGTGATGTTTCTGCCTGGCTCCCTATGAGAGGTCTCATTCCTAGTCCCAGAGACAGCCCTGCTTGCCTTTCACCTCACCTAATTCAATGTAGAAAACATGCAGGGTATGCTCCACACAGCCCCATATCCAGCCATCTCCCACAGCTCTGGCCTCGCAAAAAACCACACAAATTCTCCTTTCACAGTCTTTACCTCTTGCTTGGCATTTTCGACTCTGGTTTGCTCCTCTTCTTGTTGAGCCTGCATGGCAGCAACTTTCTGCTCCAAATCAAACAGCTTCTTCTTGTGCTGCCCTTCTGTCTCTGCCTTCTCCTTTTCCCATTGCTCCAGCGTCTCCTGCAGCTCTGAATGGTGCCCTTCCCGCTCACTTGCCTGATGAGGGGAGGAAAAGACTTCAAGATGAAGTCCCAGCCAAGCTCCTCCAAAAAAATGTGAAGCTTCATCCCTCCCACAAAGCCCCACCTGAGCAGTGCACAGTGGTGGCTTTATGCCCTCCGTGTCCTATCAAAGAACTTAAAAGGAGGCTCAGCAGAGGGAAAACTCATAGAATCATTTTGGTTGGAAAAGACCTTTCAGATCACTGCGTCCAACCATTAAGAAGAGCAGATGTTACCTTCCCCTCTCTCAGGGCTGCCTGTTTCCTAGCACCTCTCTCCTCCAGATTGCTCTCTGTTCTCAGAGCCTCTATTTCCAAAGCTCAGCTCCCTTTTCATCAACGAAAAGGTGCAGATGGACTGCAGGGGGAGAAAGACACCAGTGCCCTGATGCCCTGGTCACAAGACAGGCCCCGAGCTGAAGTACCAGGAACAAGGGGCCTGTTCCATACGCTTCAAGCCCAGAGACAATACCTCTGTCAGCTGTGAAAGGACAGAAGGAAAGGAACAAAGTTCCCAGGACTGCAGCTGGCAGCAATGCTAGGAGTCTACTCCATGGGAGACAGGAGTCTGGTAAGATCCTACCCCTTGGCTGCCATGCTTTGGTTGAGGACCAGCCAACCTTCTGTTGAACTTGTCTTAGGCCCACACTCAATCCGTGGCTGCCTTTACTGTCCCAGCATAGTCCTGGGGGTCTTCACATGCCTTCAAGTACGAGCCATTGGCTCTGCTGCCTGGCCTAGCAACGTGTGGCCTATGACAAATGATTGCTGTCATTTCTCATGCTCAGGCTATTATTCTTCAAAAGCCAACCCTCAAAGCTCACTTGAAGAACTCAGAAGCATATTGTTTCCTACCAGGTCTTGCAGGAGCTTGGTTATTTCCACTTCATGATCGGTTTCCCGAAGCTTGAGGGAATCGTTGTACTGCTGTTCTGTCTCCAAGAGCTGTTGCGCCATGTTTTCCCGTTCCTGCTTCATGAGAGATCTCTCTGCTTCCAGCTGCCATTGAAGGCACTTCACTTCCCCTGCAAACACAACAAATGGTAAGATTCAGAGTCTACACAGACAGTGGTTCTGACTTTACTGACCTTAAGCCACATAAATGTCAGTGTAGGAGGGATCTGCCTCCATCTCCTTCACTCCTCAGAAGCACTGCGGACAGACAGCTCTTTCTATACCACCTTCCCTAGGCAGGGGGATCACCAGAAACAAAGCACACGAAGCTCTCACCTTGGATCACCTCCTTGGCCTGCCTGACTGTGCAAAGCTGCATTTCAAGCTGACTCCTGGCGATCTCCAGCTGAGAGAAGTGCTGCTGAGCTTCAAACAGGCTGGATTCCAGGCTCTCCTTCACTGACCTGCAAGTTGTGGATATGGAGAGAAGTGCCTTTCTTGCTCCTGACACCCCCAGGGAGTTATTCCAGTAAGAAGGCATTCAAGAGCCCTACACCTGAGTACTGAAAATTGGTTGACATGGGAACTTCTATACAGAAAACATATTTCTACCATTTAAAATAGCAAGGCAGGCCCCTCCGAGGGAACGTCCAGAAGGCCCTCAAGATTTTCAGCATAAGCCTCTAGCTTCACCCTAATCAGTAGTGTTCTACTCACAATGTCTGTATGTAATAGCCTGGAATTCTGAAGGTCCCATGTCAAAGCACTTGATAAGAAAAGATCTATGTTCAAATGCACAGAACAAGAAACCAGAACCAGAGAGAAACTTGGGTTTCAGTAAGCATCTGCGTGGTTTAATTACTACTCAATTCAGAGCCAAGTTGGCTTGCTTTGGACTTCAAACAGCAGTGTGCAAGGGGGCACAACCATGAGCCCAAGGCTAAGGAGAGCTTTGCTAGCTTTATGTGTCAGAAGAATAACATTGAAATCATGGTATACTTTTTTATTTCCCCCTCAAGATTCTTCCATTTTCTGTCCATGGAAGGTGGAAACATCTGAAAAGCACACAGGATGCAATAAAGCCTCGTGTCATGACTACCACCTTGATCATTACAGACATGAAGTAATGTCCTGCCTAGGCACTCCTCCCTGCTTTTACCTGGCCTCTGCCAGCTGCTCTGAAAGGCCTTGTCTGTCCCGCTCCATGGCTGCCAGTCGCACCTCTAGAGCCGCCTTCTCATGAACCAGGAGTTCCTTCTCTTTGGACACCTTGGCCAGTGCATGCCCTTGGCGAGAGGACTCCTGCCGCAACTGCTCCAGACCACTGCTGGCTGACTCCTGCTGGCGGTAAACCTGAAAGCGGGACAAAATACAGTTAGAGTCCCTTCTCTGGAGCTCTGTGCAGAGCCAGCCAGGGCCGCTGCTGGATCAAATAGAGGAGAAAGAGCTCCTGTACTTGGGGCTGAAAGTTTAAGAGCATCTGCTGGATACCGCACTAATACCCTGGGCTGCCAAAAGGCACTGGCACTGTTAACTTGAAAGGGATGTGGAAGGCCCTACCGGGTTGCCTGGGACCAGACAGCTCCTTCATGACAAACCCCAGAGTACGTGTTTTCATGCAAAAATACTGCATCTTCCAGAACTGCCACTTTGCAAACTAAAATTCTACCAGAATCTATGCCAGTGCTGGGAATTTTCAGGAAAGGTTGAGCAAAAGCAACTTTGCTCACTGAAGAAAGTGGAAATACACATGGTTTCTTCTTCTAGGAAAAAAAAAGATGAAAGTGTCACCCACTTCAGTGTGTAAAGAAGTTGCACGCAATGAGGTGATGCGTGGCAGGGACACAGCCCTCATGGGGAGCAGTGTCATTCAGTGATTTCGGAAAGTCTGGCTGGTGTGGCCAAAGAGATGCTAGACTCTGTTTGTACAGTAGTTCATGTCAACAAGCCTGCTTACTTGACTTACACAAAGAAGTTTTCTAACAGACCTTGCTTGAAGATTAACTATGATTTTTTCAGCTTTTTTCTTCAGTATAACACCTCTGCTGTGTATTTGCCAAACATACCACGTACTCCAAAACTAAGGGTATCTAACACAGAACTGACCATCAGAAACAAACAATTCTGCTCTCAGTTATCCCATAATACCCAAGACTGTACATTAGCAAACTGACATTTAAATGATGACAAACTCCCTAGTCTCCTCCAGTGCCATGATTCTCCCAAGCTCTTTTTCCAGGGTACCAAAATCAGTTAGACCAGACTGAAGAGTCTTGTGTGATCACATCTTCTTCCTCAAAACCTAAAAAGGCTCTAACAATTCATAGCACCATAGAATCATTTAGGTTGGAAAAGACCTTTAAGATCATCGACTGCATCCTTAAACGTAACACTGCCAAGTCCACCACTAAACCATGTCCCTAAGTGCCACATCTACACGTCTTTTAAATATCTCCAGGGATGGTGACTCCACCGTCTGTTCCAATGCTTGACAACCCTTTTAGTGAAGAAATATTTCCAAATATCCAACCTAAACCTCTCCTGGTGCTACCTGAGGCCGTTTCCTCTCATCCTATCACTTGTTATTTGGGAGAAGAGACCCACCTCCACCTTGCTACAACCCCCTCGCAGGCAGTTGGAGAGAGCCATAAGGTCTCCCTCAGCCTCCTCTTCTCCAGGCTAAACAACCTCATAAGACTTATTCTCCAGGCCCTTCACCACCTTCGTTGCCCTTCTTTGGATGCACTCCAGCACATCAAGGTCTTTCTTGGAGTGAGGGGCCCAAAACCGAACACAGGATTCAAGATGCAGCCTCACCAGTGCCAACTATGAGGGGATGACCACTTCCCTAGTCGTACTGGCCACAGTATTGCTGATAGAAGCCAGAATGCTGTTGGCCTTCTTGGCCACCTGGGCACACTGCTGGCTCCTATTCAGCCGGCTCTTGACCAACACCCCCGGGTCCTTTGCCCCCAGGCAGCTTTCCAGCCACAAAGTTGCACGTATGCCTTAAAATGCAATTTCAACAACTTGAAGATGTCATTCCCATTCTTAGCAACACAAGACAGCAGACATTCCCTTGCAGCTTTGTCCCCCTCTCTAGGCTCAAACAAATGGACTTTTGAAAGTTGCAGACTTCACAACAAAAAGCATCAACACAAACATGCAGCCCTGGGTTTTGCCTCAGAAAAAGCATTCAGACCTACACAGTTGGTTTCTTTGGTCACATCCCACTCAGACTCGTGGACAACACCATCAGCTCTTTGCAGCTTATCAAAAGCCAAAAAAAAGGCCAACACAGATGGGGGATTCAAAGAAGCTGTAGAAGCAGAGGACAACTCAGACAACTGCACAACAGCTCTGCAAGCCCTCAACACATTTCCCAAAAGAAGTAAACAAAGCCTTCGGACCTCCAGCACTACCAAGTGTCGCCTTGACCAAACCACTGCAGAATCCAACAGCTACAGTTTCACTGAGCCAAGCAGCCAAATGCCCACCCAGAAGCACCAGGTTTTTGCTCTCACCTGACTGAGTTTCTCTTGGGTTTCTGTCTTCTCCTCTGCCAAGATCCTCAGGTCTACTCGCAGACCCTCCTGTTGCTCCTCTGCTTTCTTCAGCAGCTGCTCAAGGTGGGCTTTCTCTGCGCAGAGCTCTTCATTTGTTCTTTCACACAAGCTCAGCTTCTCCTGGTCAGAGATCTTGGCTCTCTCCATCTCGTCCACTTTACCTGACAGAACAGCATTCTCTTGCTCCAGCTACAATCACAGAAGCACAGAGGAAATACAATACAGTAAGATTTACTATGTGGAAGTTTGGCCTGGACAGAAAAATGAACACCATTTCCACAATCAGTCATTCTGTTGGAAGGCAAGAGGTCTGAAAAGAAGCAGCAGCTGGAGATGAACACCTGGCAAGATCTTGGGCAACTCTGCTCACCTGCAGCACAACTTTCTGCAGTTGGACTTTATCCAGTGCAAGAGCTTCATTAATACTGCTTGTCTTCGCTGTTGCAACACGTAGGTCAGCTACTTCAGCACTCAGCTTATTCTGGGCCCCTGTCAACTCTGCTACTGACTGCTCTGCCTGAAGAGACAGAAGAACAACGTGAAAACAAAGATGGGAAAATCCCTCACTTCAAGCAGCAACTCCACATCCCCTTTTGGGTCTCTGACCTACTCCCAGTTCAATGTTCCCAATAAGCACGTGGGGACTGACTACCCCAAACAGCCTGTGTGGGCTGATCACGGTTTTCCAAGAAGGAGAACAACATCACCCCTGTCTTCTACTGCCACAAACAGCATCTGTGGTGGCCTTGCTATCACAACTCCCTCTCCCACAAGAGCTGCCTAGCATTAAGGTGACCATACCTTTTCCAGTGCCATGGTAAGCTCGTGTTTCTCCTGCTTCAGCAGATCCCTCTCAAGGCGCGATTCCTCCAGTGTCTCTCTCGCCACTACCAACTCACTCTGTAATAGTGAATGTTTTTCTTCAAGTGCAGCTAAGTCCTTCAGTCTATGAGAAGGGGAAAGACAAACAAGTTTTTAATGTAAAGACATTCTCATTTCCAAAGCCAAGAGTATAGAGTCATAGAATCACAGAGTCATTTAGGTTGGAAAAGACCTTGAAGACCATCGAGTCCAACCGTAAACCCAACACTGCCAAGTCCACTACTACTGACACCTAAAGAATGCTGGAATTTCCTGACTAGAGCTGCATCACTCTTTGTCATTGATGTAGGCGAAACATTCATCACTGAGAAGGTAAAACAAGCTTCCAGAAATCACAGAATTTTTCCAAAATATTTCAGGTACTCTCAACTTCACAGCTTCCTGCCTGTTAGTTCTCTCTCTTGTCATTGATACAGTGGATACAAGAATTTCCAAAGTTCTTCTTTGGGGAAGACAGTCTTTTTAAGTCCAGATTAATATTCCCACAATTACTCTTGCCTTCAGCGGTGAAACAATGAAAAAGCCTCCAATTTTTTGGGGGAGGAGATGTGTACAGGTTTCCAATCCCATAATCATAGGATCACCGCATGATTCAGGCTGGCAGGGACCCCAGGAGGCCTCTAGCCCAATAATCTTCAGCTCATAGCAGCTGGGGTCAGGTATAGGATCAGTCCAGGTTGCTCAAGGCAAGATCTAGTTGGGTCTTCCAAATTTCCAGGGATGGAATCTGCACAACCTCTCTGAGCAACCTGTTCTGTTCCATGATTGCCGTCATGGTTCAATTGTTTGTTCTCCTTAAATCCAGTCTGAACCTCTCTTGTTTCAGTTTATGCCTGTATTCAACTACTCTGGTCAGGTTTGGGATGATTTTTTTAAAGGATCATAAAGAAAGTACAAGGAGGCAGCTATGGTGTATGTCAGCAGGTAGCCAGACGTGCCCATGTGCTCCCTTCACCCTTCTATGCTACAAATGATGAGCATGCAAAATTCATTCTTTTATGGTGGGCCTCTGAAAGTCCAGCAATGCCCACCCCTGCCCAGAGAAAGCTTTAACACTCACAGGAGCTCCTGGTCACGATGCGCTCGCTCCATCGTCTGTTGCTGCTCCACCTTTTCCCCCTGGGCTGAATCTTCCTTCAGCTGCAGTTCAGTGTTACTTTGACGCAGACGTGAGGCTTCTCGCTCCGTTACTTCAAGCTGCTGCTGTAGCTCTTCCCTGGTTTTCTCGAGGTTTGCACAGTCACTGCAGAGACAAGGCTCAGTTAGAGGAAGGAAGAGGCCTGAAGAGTCACGGATCCTATTTTCCTCATTCCAGGATAGAGTACGATAAAGAAGAACTTGCTCTTCCCCTCCCAAGGGAATTGAAGAGGGAAAGAGAAAGGAAGGCAGGCTGTTGCCTTCATTCAGTGAGAAGCAGTGGTTAGGAATGGGCACCCTAAGAACAGAACTCCGAGAAGCAACATGTCAAGAGGGAGGCGTCTTGTATTCCAACATCGCTCTGAATCACCAAGACAGCCTCAGGATTCACACTAGAGCATGAAAAGCAGTGACAGGAAGATGCTGAAGTGCCAAACACAGGCATGCACGTGGTAGGGCAGGCGAGTCCTCTGCCCATAACACCTCTGAACTCCCACAACTGGAAGCAGATTGCCTCTAGAACGCAGGAGAAGGAGAAACGCTCACCTTCTGAGTGCTTCTACCAGAGATTGGAGGTGCTGCCGGTGGCTGCTGGATGTCTTGCATTCCTCCTCCAGTTGCTCAAGCCTTTGCTGCAGCTTCCTGCACTTCTCTTCCTGCTGTCTGTGCTGGTGCTGCAGGAGATTGATAGAGTCCTGCCTGGCAGAAAGCTCTTCTTTCAGGGCCTGCAAGTTTTTTAGCACAAACAAGCAATAATGAGCAGGGAAGATGGCTCCAGAGAGCTGGGAGAAGCAGCAAGCAGAGAGACAGCTCACCTGAAGGCAAAAGCTGTGATGAGGGGGTGGAGATCAAGGACAGAAAAGCAGTAGAACACAGAGCTGGTGAGACTGGCAAGGCAATACGGTACCAAGAGTGGGAAGGCTAGAAAGAAACTGGCTAAGTAAATGGAAACATTTCAAGCTAAGTGAGGCATCAGCAGCTGGGCCTGTGGCCAGTGGGGAAGACAAGCAGAAATTCTCACCTGTGTTGCCCCACGCCTCCTTGCCAGTGCTTCCTGAACCAACACAAAGGCATGCTCTGCATCACCAGAGCTCAGGCAAGACAGGATGTTGCTAGTCTCGGCATGCTGAGAACTGTCAGCGCAAATAATGCTGACCGTGCTGTCACCGTCATCTAACACCACCTGAAAGCCCACATCAAGCTGTTACTTTTTGCTCATTCTACTTGGTTTTCTTTACCTATTTCTCCTCTTTCCCCCGCTTCACCCTAGTCATTAAAAACTCAATTCTCTCATTTCAGTCAACAGAGAAGTTTTGTCCCAGTGGCCATAAGTACTCCACAGATTTCTGAATACAGCTACTATAAGCAAGAAGAAACAAGTGTAAAGTGGCTGGAGGCTGCCAGAACACTCAGTTTCTTGAAGCTCTTAGGAATGATTCTGGCCTCCTTCAACTTCTTAGAGCCACATACATGAGCACCAGATCAACACTGGAAACAGCAGTGAAAGGAAACATTAACACTGCCCAGGGAAAAAGGAAGCTGATGAATACTGGAAAACAGCAATGAAAAAGCTAACATTTATAATTACTCTGAGCAGTAGCACAAGAGGATAAAAATGACTACATAAGGCGAAAGAACTGACTTTGCTAGAGGCTGTGTAAAAGACCTGATGATTAACCCCAGCCTCCATAGAGTGAAGTATACAGTATACAACATCTATATCTATTCCCTGGGCTACTCTGTTGACTTCCTCAAGTACTTTTAAATCAAATTCACACGGATGCAGTTCCAACTCTCTACTCACCTCAGTTATATCTTTTATCAGCTTTTGCAGGGAAAGATTCTCTTCTTTGGCACTTCTAGACAATGAAGCTTCATATTCTTTCTCTAACCAACTTGCTTCCTGAGAGTAGAATAAGAAAAGCGTGGGCAGGGCAGAGCTGCTCCCCTCTATAGCATTCCCATCCTCAGTAGCATTGTCATGCCAATAAGCCTCAGCCCTAGTGATTCCAGTACATTCCTTCCCATATCTATTCCATTTCTTCTTTGCTAAAACTAAGAAGAGAAAGACCAACAGCTAGTTTTTATAGACTGCTATGAAGCTGTCAATTCCAAGGAACTTTGATCCCTACAGACTTAAAAGCCACAGGCAGAATAGTATTGGTGCAGCCCCTTTGAGGAAGATGCCCAAATTGTCTGCAGCTCCCCTGCCACTGCCCGCACCTGGACTGACTCAACATGTGCCAAACACACAAGGAAAATTTTGGCAATGTGCCTGATGTTCCCCTACAGTTACCATCTTCACCACTCTTTCTCTTGAGGAAGCCACACCTCATGATGCTAAGCCTGAAGAGCAAATGCTGGGCTATCTCCCAGACAGAGGTAAAACATACTAGAATCTCCACAGTGTCATTAAGTGTTTTCATGGTCTTCTCCTTCTCCTCGTTCTGCTTCTGAGACTGTACAAGCAAGGCTGAAAGCTCCATCACCCTGAGAAGAGAAGAGAAGGTCCATGTGCCATTCCAAAAGCACTGCACACCATCCTCTGTTAAAAAGCTAAGCAGCTCCCAAAAACAGAGAAGAGAAAATTTAACCCAGAAAAGACAGCAAAGGCAGCATTCATGTCTACAGGTTAATACGCCTGATGTTGCAAAATGGCACTTCTTGCCCCAAAGGCCTTCTGCACTCAGTCTTGCAAGGAAACATCAGTACAGAGGTGCTACAATACTTATGATGGTCCTGGGCAAATGCCTCCCAACTCCTTTAGCACAGCCCTGGGTAGCAAAAGGGCTGTACAAGAAACAGAGCTCTCTTTACGCTGGTCTCAATTTCTCTACCGAGAATCAGTTCGCAGTAAAAACTTGGTAATATGCAATCTCTTTTCAGTCTTGTCCTACTCACAAGAACTTCTGTCAGTCAGACGGTTTTTCCTATCCATTCTGTTGAAGGCAATAGCTTGACTAGGGACAGAAACAGGGCTGTGCAGAATGGGTGTGTTTTAAACGTGAACACAGCCCATCTATGAAGCATAGAAGCAGCCATAAAGGATAATGTTGTTAATAGCAGAGTTGCAAACACCTTTACCTGTCCTGAAGCTCCTTCTTCTCCAGGTCCTCCTTGACTTGTAAGTGCATCACTTCCCAAGTCTTCTGGCTTATTTCCTGTTCCACTTGCTGCTGTGCCTGATCTCTCAGGACACGTCTACCCAGAGTGATGGACTCCCAGAGCTGTCTGCTGGAGTTTAGGCAGGAGCAATTTGCAAGTATAGCTCCAGAAAGCCTCATTTGCTCTGCCTTCAGCTCTGACAGATCTCTGAAGAAGAACAAAGAGGGAATGTTCACACCACCATCTTCATCACCTGACTCACTTTGGAAGCATGTAATTGTGCAACAGTGAAAGCTGGCAGGGAAGACGACATCTTCTTTGGGGACGAATGCTTCATCTGACCCTTTGGGATCAGGACACATCTTGACAGCTGAGCAATGGGTCTACTGGATAGTTGGCAAAAGAGTCTCTTTTCTCCTCAGAGATAGGAAGAAATGCATGGCACAGCCAGAAGCCTTCAAGGACCTCTAATTACTCTTATTAATTGTAGCTCCTGCTCAATCTTATTAACATACTCTAATTATCATTAATAGATGTAAGGAATTTTACCAAGGCACCCAGCTTTTATACCTCGAGGATCAGCCTTAAGCGACCTATGATTATCAACACTTGGACTGCTAAGAGGTTCATGACAATATCTACATAATAAACATCTCAGGAAGGTGGTGTCAGAATAAGCCTAAAATGTTGTAAGAAAAAAGCACAAATAACACAAGAATGAAACAGTAGGTCAGGCATACTCTGCACTAGTAATCAACTAAGATAAATGGCTGACAGTAACCCAGAGTTTGAAATTGCATGCTGACACCAGAAGAAAATACTACTACAGCTATGCTATTTTTGATTGTGTAGAAGGTAACTGTGAGAAAGAAATCTCAGACAACCCAAGAACAAGAAAGCAATCATCAAAAGAGGTATCAAACTAAGCAAAATAAATTGGATAAATGCAGTAACAGGGTAGAGAAGCTATACTTTCTCTCAACAATGTTGGTACAGGAATAAGCAGATACAAACTGACCAGGATAAATGTAAGCTGGAAACAAGAAGGAAAAAAAAAAAATGCCTGTGCCTGTGTTAATATGTCCAAACATCAGCATAGTCAAGTTCATCGGTCCAGGGCCTCTGCCTCGCTTATAGCCCAAGCCCCTCAGTTTGATCTGAAAACCAGCATCAAACAAAATGATTCTCAAAAGAGCCTAAAGCCTGCTTAATGGCATTGCTTCAGACTGTCAAAGGAGAAGTCATATCTTCAGCCACACCTAAAGTAACATTAAGGCTCAAAAAACAGCTGTGAAGGGAAGCCACATTTTTTCTGCAAGAGATCTAGCCTTAACTTCTACTCACCGGTCAGTGGCAGTCTTCATCTCCAGGAAATGACGGCGGAAGGTTACCACCTGACACCACAGGCTGAGTAGACGGTTATGTTCACCCCTTAAGTAGCTGTCATGAACCTAAACATGCAAAGACAAAAAGAAACACCAATTCAGCCCTCACTGTCACTGTCCAAGTCGTTCAGCTGTGAGACAGTACAACCACCACCACCAGGTCTCCCTTAATAACAATCTCAACAGGGGCATCAAGGACTGAATGGGCACCACAGAAGCATCCTCAGTAGACCTGCCACCTGACTTCAGAGGCGGGAACATCCACGCTTCTCCTGCAGCAGTGGCTATCAGCAAAGCAAACTGCTCAGGATTCACCATCTCGCCTTGCAGAGGTGTCCAACAGTCTTGGTGGAGGAGGACAAAAACAACCCCAAGACCAGGGTCAGGTTTGCTTACAACAGGCGATTGGCAAGGGAGGCCTGTCAGACTCTGGATCTGAAAACACACAGACCTCTCCACTCGCCACTGCTCTAGACAGAGGTTTAGGAACTATTGAAAAGACGAGTGGTCCTGTGTGACTGCCCTGCAGTGCCCAGCAACAGCAAGCATTTGCCTTTAGGACCGAGCAGCATGGCCACAGCAGGTGGGCATCTTCCAGCACCACAATTTGCTGACACTCCTCCAGCTCACACCCCTGTATTCTGCTCATCAACATCAACACATCCTCAACAGAGCCACAACTTTCACGCAGCAACTTCTCGATGCCAGAAATAAAATGCCCTCTCATTCCACTCTGGCATCACGTCTGACATTCCCACAGCCTATCCTTACCTCACGATCAGCGCGCCATTCCCTCTCCTTCAATTCCAGCTCCTCCCGGGCCCTCATCCAATCTGCCGTCAGTTTTCCAATATCTTCTTTGAGGGCTGAATTAACCTCATTCGCTTTATCGAGGTGCTCCCGCAGCAGAGTGTTCACTTCTGCCAGATTCTCACACCTTGGAAAGGGAGAAACAGCAAGGAGGTCACGGAACAACTGCTGTCCACAAGCAGCATCTCCGTGATTTCCCAGCTCCTTCAACACTGACTTTGTTGTCAAATTGAGAGGCAGTAAAAGTGCTGTCTAGGATTAACTAAGAGCTCTCTGTGATGGCAAACTCCTTTGCTTCTCCTTGCTTTGAGCCTTCAGTTTCCATCTACAATTTTGGTTCCCCCTTCCTCTTCAACTTTGATGACGCCCACACTTAACGTCTTGCCTCCCCATCGTGCTGTCTCATCACTGGGTGCATCAACTTTCTCTACCATTGTCCCAAGTCTCTCAACTACTGAACTACAGAAAAATTTAGGCTGGAAAGGGAACCTTGGAGGTCACCCAGAATAACACCCCTGCTCAAAACAAGGTTATGCTCAAAACAGGATATGCTGTTCAGGTAAAACCAAACAGGAGAACTCCTGCACCATGAAATGTTCAGGATGCTGCCAGGGCTTGATTCTCAGCCTGAACCAGGGCTCTGCTGAGTAGCCCACCTACTGAATTATCCAATAATTTCGGCTGGGAAGGGACCTTTGGAGGTCACCTGGAACAACCCCCTCGCTCAAAGCAGAGCCATTCAGCACACAACACTATTGCTGCACTACAGAACAGATGGTGGCCCTTTCTCCTTTCAAAACGGCTTGCCTGACTGCTTCCCTTGGGGACACTAGGTAGCACTGACAGGTTTTCCCTCACTTCCATCAGCATCCAGGATACCAAGGATGAGGGAACGCTTCTGCCTTGTACCTTTGCTGCTCCTCTTCCAACTGAAGCAGTGCCTTCTCCAGGCTGTGGACTTCTGTGGCTTCCCACCTGCCTGCAAGGGATCCCTTTAGAAGAAAGGAAACGGTTAGTTAAATTCTTGTGTTCCCTTCACTACTCTTAGCATCCATCACTTTCCTCTCCATTTGTTGGGTACCTCAGGAGCTCGTGGCTTCTTCCAGGCATCACAGTGTCATGACTACGGACACGAAGGGAGGGGAAGGCTATTACTCAACGTGAGTAGCTCTCCTCAGCCTCCCACTCTTGCCCTCTCACCGCTACGTACGCTCAGCTCATGACCGTGAGTGCTCACTTTGACTTGAAGCCCGGGAATACTCTCCTACCCTCCATTTCCCAGGTTTACTTTAGCCGTGAAGCAGAAAGAAAAGCACAGAGCCAGCTCTGCATGTTGAACGCCAGCATTCTTGCCTTCCAAAATGCTGTTTCAAGTCATTCTTTTTCAGAGACAGCCACAGGATGGAACAGGCAGTATAGCCCTCTCCTGAGACCTAGCACAAATGCTACTCCATCAATAACACGCTCTTTCCCAAAATTAAAATCCATCTCGAGCGGGTTTTTGCGATTGGCATTTTGGGGACTACTGGCTGCTCTGAGAATGGCAACTGGCAAAACACTGATGGGCAAACTTACAGTGCTGCTTTAAATCCTCAGCTAGCAAAATCTGGGTTTTCTCCACCATTGCTTTGGGGAGCTTTTTGTGTGCGTTAACGAATGCTACGTACACTATCTTTAGTTCGCAACCTGCACACTCACCACTCCTGCTTCCAGCTGCTGCTCCAACTCGCGACACCTAGTCCGGTACTGCAGTACCTAGATGGGTACATAGAAGGAAGATGAACAAATGCAGCTTCTAACGGACTCGGCTCCTCCTGCATTAGCTTTTCTCTAGCCCAAGCACAGTACACTTCACAGTGCTGCCGGTGCAGTCAACAAGAAGTTGTTGTGATATAGGGAAGCTTCACTTGATCTGATATTACAGAAACCGAGATAGGGTTTCTTTTACACATAGCACTACCTGCTCATCCCAAGACAGTGATGGCAAGCAGGATGATGAGACAGGCTTAGACAGCCATGCCTGGCCTATGGCCACTATGTACCCCAAATCAGTATTTCCAACAGGCTAAAAGTCCAGTGGGAACTTCAAGTTAGAGAAATGAGTTTTCCCAATTGCTTTTCACTATTTAGCAAGCACAGTTAGTTCTGACCGCAGTCCTGCTCAGCCAATGCGCAAGGCGGATTTCTGCCCAGCTGCAGAAGACAAGCAGGGGTAAGAAAAGCAGGAT